ATGAAATAACACAAGTAATCTTATCTGGAATGGACGCATATATCCCACATACAACTAAACGTAGAGCTAATGCAAAACCTTGGTTCAACAGCCAGTGTCAAACGGCTGTACAGAAAAAACACAGAGCATATAAATAACCTTTGGAAACGACAAAAAACCGCTCAAAACCACACAGAATTTATAGAAGCCAGAAATAGTTGCAAAATTACTATTGACTCCGCTAAAGAAACATAAAATCAAAGAATAAAAAACAGGTTGCTGAATTGTCCAAGTAGTTCTAGGTCTTTTTGGTCTCTTGCAAAAGCTGTTGGATCTAACTTCACCAAGTCATCCATACCACCACTTACAGATAAAAATAATCACTTAGCCACAACACCAGAGGAAAAAGCCAATATGCTTGCCCAAATGTTTTCCTCCAACTCCAACCTAACAGTGCCAAACGGAAAAACTCCACCGTTCATTGAAAGGGTTTCCCATAGTATGCCAGAGGTACACTTTTGTCACAGAGAAATACGAAAATCCCTAAAAAAGCTGGATACAAACAAAGCAATGGGTCCGGATGGCATTCCCGCAATAGTACTCAAAAATTGCGCCAACGAACTCACCCCAACTTTCGCTAAATTATTCAATTTGTCTTACAGGCAAGGAGTATATCCATCATCATGGAAGTCTGCCGCAGTACAACCCATTCCAAAGAAAGGAAAAAAGACAGATCCGTTAAACTATAGACCAATTGCTCTACTTCCGGTGATATCAAAAGTAATGGAAAGAGTTGTGAACAATCACCTAACCAAGTACTTGGAAAAGTACAAAATTATCAACGATAAGCAATACGGATTTCGAAAATATAGGTCAATTGGCGATTTACTTACATACGTCACTCACTTATGGCAAAAAGCGATTGAGTTGCGGGGTGAAACAAAAACAATTGCCTTAGATATATCTAAAGCATTCGACAAAGTTTGGCATGAAAATCTACTCAACAAGCTCAAAGCAATGGGATTATCGCCGAAACTTTGCACTTGGTTTGAAAGTTACCTAAAGGACAGATCCATTTATGTTGCACTGGATGGCCTGAACTCCAACTCTTACCAAATAAATACTGGTGTGCCACAGGGAGCAATCCTTTCGCCAACTCTTTTCCTGATTTACATAAATGACCTCATAGATAAAACAGTAAATCCACTTTATTGCTTTGCAGACGATGGCAATGTAGTCTCCTCACTCATACCACCCACAAATCTTTCCGCACGTGAATTCCATCATCTTAGACTAACTCAAATATCGCAGATAAATAACGACCTGGAGATAATAGAGGACTGGGGTAACAAAAACCTTCTACAGTTCAACGCGCAGAAAACCCAAGCAGCTCTAAAGTAAAAAATGATTTATAAATATAAAAAATACCGACTATTATAGGTAAGGATGCCAGTAAAGTATAAAATAAAAGATAGATCCCAGCTATTAAACGATCAGGTTTTTCAAAAAAGACCAGCACCGGTGAGCCAAACATCATGCTATCTGGAAGTGCTGTCACATTACAGAGTCAGTTGAACATCTTGGGGGTTACTGCAGAGACCAACATGTCTTGGCACAGTCACGTGGCAGATATTGCTAAAAGGGCCTCCCAAAAGCTGGGGGTGCTATTTCGTACAAGACATCTGTACACACCAAGCCAATTGCTGACACTCTACAAAGCCCAGATTCGACCAACTATGGAGTACTGCTCACATATATGGAGTGCAGCACCCAAACATACCTTAATGCTTTTGAATACCGTGCAAAAACGAGCTATCAAGCTGATCAATGACCCCGCACTTACTCGTAACTTGGATGGTCTCGAACATCGCAGATCTATGGGCGATTTACCTCTCTTCTACAGGTACTATCACGGAAAATGCTCTGAAGAGTTGGCACGTATGATTCCACCGAGAGTAGCACCTACCAGGCGAACCCGTCAAACAGACGGTAACCATGAATTTACTGTCAAACTAGAGGCACCAAGAACCTCATTATATCAGAATTCATATCTCTGGAGAACAGCATCGCTGTGGAATAAACTCCCTGCGACGGTTTTCCCTGCAGGTTACAACCTGAACCGTTTCAAGACCAACATACACCGACATTTCCGCGCACTTGCCGCTTCTCGAGCGTGATAGGACATTTCCTTGCGAGTGCGCATATCCGTAAAAAAAAAAAAAAAAAAAAAAAAAAAAATGATCCTTAAAACAATAGATTGATTGACTAATTAACATTAGTCGATATGGGAATCGTTCAATATAACTCCTCGTCTACAGTGATACATTTGTTTATTGATTTAAATAAATTCATAAAAGTTCTTGAACAGTTTTCAATACGGTTAGAAACAAACTTATGCTTGGTGTAAGTTAGTAATTTTTACCTGCCAACAAGAAAACGAAACAAAAATTTGAAAAAAATAATACCCGAAGCTCTGGCAACCTAAAATGTGGTGTGTGTACAAAATAAACAAATTAAAAAAAAAAAAAAATATTGCATACCAGCAGGCTAGTAGTGCGCTATAAGTGCCAGAACGACCATGCTTGTAGCGATTGCGAATAAGGACCAGACTATGGGAACGTACAAGGCTTGCCATGAAGCAACGCATTGTTTTTGGTCATCGGGCAGGCCATATGCTTTTACCAAATTGAAATAAAGAAATCATTTTTTGAGAAAAAAACAAAACAAAATAGTTTGTACTTCCCCAGCCCTTTAAAACTAACATTAAATTACTCAATTTTTGTAGTGGCCGCTTTTGCAATCTTTTACTTACTTTCGGTTATGAGCCTACAAAATACAAACTTGTTTATGACATTTACAGGGACAGACCTGTTATTATTATTATTAGTTGTTAGTTTTGTCAGTGAGCCGAACAAAAAGTCTAATATTATTATTATTGAGAAAATAGTGGGTAAGTTAATGTTAATTTAACTGGGTGTTAATCTCTAAACACAAAAACACAATTAAAATGCATTAAATTATGATTTTCTAGTACTTGCTTTAGGCCACGCAGAGACATGCAATTTGCAAAGGTTTGTAGATAAAAAGAAGAAAGGCACTCTGATGTTCTTTTGAAGTTGGTTCAATTTAAATTAAAATTGCATGTCTTTGTCCGGTCTTAAACGTATCACAAGATGCACTAAAGAAGGTAAATAAACTACACAAAAGCTAGAAAAATCAAGAATATTTGTCACATTAATTAAGCACAATAATTTGGGTCATTTCCATTGAGCGACCATTGATTCAGCTTATTTTTTTAGTACAAATTTTTTCATTTACTCAATGTTACTTTTGTGTGTTCTACAGTGTAAGAGCTGTAAAGCCTACTCTACAATAGAAGCCAAAGTTGTAAAATTGTTCAAAACTTCACCATTTCTGGTTCAAAAACTATATGGTCTAATGAGCTACTTCTACCAAATCTACAGAATGAGTGAGCTTTTAAAAAACTCATGACACTTGCAATAGAAGTAATGGAAACTGTAATATCCCCTGTATATGTAAATATATCGGATCTTTTTCTAAGAGCATAGAGGTATTCAAGATTTATCAATTTGTGGACAATTACTTCAGATGTAAAACCTGTTTGAAACGAAACAGCTATAGCTTTGAAATCTCCAAAATTAGATAGCAAAGCAGGATTCACATTGATTCCAGAACCAGTGGCGGCTCGTGACTATTTCAAGTGAGAAGGCTGAAAAATAATGAATTACGGTAAGGTAACCACTGCGCAGCAGGCAAAATTTGTTTTGGGGTGCCCATGCCCTCAATAATTTATCTCAAATTCAATAAAAACCATGAATACTCTAGAAAATAATTCTTTCTTTTCTTCATGTAAGTATATATTTTCAGAGTTAATTTTGACGAAAAATAAAAAATACAAGGAAAGCACAAATTGATCATTATGATTAATTACGATAATAATTATCTACTATCTATTGCACAATAATTTACAATGCACCTGATGCAAAAAAATATCAATCAACTATAATTCCACAACTTCCAACTAGAAAAGTAACATGAAACTCTTACTGCATAAAACAGAGATAAAAAAAAGCAAGGATAACCTTAATTTGTCGCAGAAAACCCAAGAATTTTCTGAGCAAACAATTCAATTTCGTTTGTAAAACCATGGTCTAATCCAAAAATTCACTGCACCAGGTAATCCTGCTACAAATGGTTTAGCAAAACGAAGAATTGAGACCATTAAAAATCGACTTAAAGCCATGTCCAAAGATCAGCTTCCTATGAATAACGAAATCCGAGAAATTTTACTGATTAGTTGTGGAAAATCATCTGCAGAATTATTTAAAATGAAACATCAGACTCAAGCCTCATGCAATTCGACCAAATAAGCATCTTCAATCAGAAAAACAAGTACATATATAAAATTTGAAATTTAAACCTGGGAGAAAGAGTCCAAGCTGGATTTTATAAGTTTTGGATTACTACACTATCAGGTAGAACTAGATTATTGCTATTTCTTAAAAAGACATATAGATCAACTGCAGACTAAATTGGGCTACAAAGGGATGCAACTTCCTCTGCAAACATATTATTCTAAAAATTATTATCAGCTATATTTTCCACAAGTTGATCAAAAACCAGAAATAGAACGGAATCACTGTCCAATCCAGGAAAATCATGGTGTGATAAATTTCAAAGAGAACAGAATAATATATAAATTGCCAGAATAAAATACAGAATCTAAACTTAAGACGATCCATTTTTGAGTTTTTTTTTCTCATAATAATATGCGTTACAGTAGACATAAAGACATGAGAAAATGTTTCAAGGATACCAATGAGTATCTCCTGTCAAGTCTACAAAATGATTGAGAAGTAAAAATTGTAGATCTTACGAACATGAGAGTTTCTTAGATAAAGTTCATTCAAAGCAATGTAAATCAATGAAATTTTCCAATTATTATTGTGCTTAATTAAACCAACAAGACAAAAAAATCAGTTCATGCAAATACAACATACCCGAATCCGAACTAAGCTCGGCTCCCTCCTCGTGCAAAGCTATATCCGAACCGCTAGAACTTCCCACAGGATTTCCAATAGCAGCCTGCGGTTGCTGCTGCTGAGTTTTCTTCAATATACTCTTTAACGGAGGCGAAGCCTTACGCGAATCCTCTTCAGAATCTGAGTCAACGATTTTCCGCTCAGGCGAACTGATTAGCACGCTTTCTGTTTTCAAAACTGGAATTTTGCTTTTTACTGCATCATTGTCGTTATTAACAGAGCCGCTTAGCACTGGGATTTTGCTGTTATTATTATCAGCGGTGGTTATTCTAGTGACTGTTGTTTTGACAATCGGATCAGCCGTGCTAGTGGTAACAGTTTTGATTATTTTCGTGGTGACTGTTTCTTCGTCATCCTTGTCCCAATCAATATCTTTTGAAATGTTGGCGAACTCTTTTAAAGGGTCTTTCGAATGTTTTTTAATTGTTTTCACTTTTGTCCCTTTGACTATTGGAATTTTACTTTGAAGTTCGTCTTCCGGAATTGAAACGTTTTGTTCTTGGCCTAAACTGTCTGAGGGTTTTTCTGGAATAATAAAACAACATATTAGCTTTGTAATTTAAAATGGTATTTTCATAAGCGCAACTAGGCTCCAAATTTGAGGGGTGCTGCAGCACTATTTTTGTTTTTTGATGGGGTGTGCGTAAAAAAAGTTAGTTTCACGAGGAATTGTACTTACGTCATCATTTGCCTTTTAAATAGGTTTTTTTATGTCTGAAATTTCAAACAAACATATTATAGTTCGTTGCATGGCATGAAGGTTTTTACTTACGTCATCGATGACGTCATAACTTAGAGAAAAAGTCAGGTCATAGATTAATTCATGGAGCACCTTTGGAATTATTGTTTTGTAATACATTTTTTAACTTAGAATAGAGTTTATTTAGTTATCCGAAAATATATAAATAAATTTCTCTTGGAGTGATTTTTCACTGGAAAATTTTGAAATTTTCCTCTAATAAGCTCCTCACTTTCCTCTTTCTCCTGTAAAAGTTTCAAAATTTTCCCGTTGCCAGTTTTCTAGAAAAAAATTAAAATGCAAGAGGTGAATTTTCCTTATTTTGCCTAAATAAGTCAATTTTCTTTGAATTTTTCCTGGAGTGATTTATCAGTAGTAATATAACAAGTGCATTAAAACTTAGCGATAATTTTTGGGAAATATGCACGAATGCACGAATGCACGAATGCACGAATGCACGAATGCACGAATGCACGAATGCACGAATGCACGAATGCACGAATGCACGAATGCACGAATGCACGAATGCACGTTAAGTTGGAAAAAGCACGAGTGCACGGAGTGCACGAGTGCGTTTTTCAGTTTAACATGCATGAGTGAAGATTTGTCGAAAATTATCGATGCATTTTTAATGCACGAGTTATATTTTATCAGAAAATTTCATAAATTTTCAACTTGTCCTGTATAAGAAAAAAATTTGTCACTGTCACATAAAATTTGTCAAATGAAATTGAAGGTGTTGCTCTTTTTTTATTTTTGGTCTAGTTACTAGTTATTACCTTTTTAAACAATTTCTATGGTGATTTAACAATTGGCATTTGTGATAATCAGTGATCACAAAACATCCCCCCTTAGAAAGGTAAGTGCCGTGTTGAGAACCTGTCTATATAGTCTAGGAGGCAGTGACGATTTTCGGTACTTATTTTCCCAGTCAGACAACTTGGATAGAGTTGTAGGGTAAGTAATTCTAAGCAAAATACATATATTTTTAGGGGGGGTTTTCCGATGGGTTGAGGCGCAAAATGCAATAAAGCTTACGAATGCACGGCCTTTTTTTTCTCAGTGATAAAAATAGGTCTACTAATGAGAAGTATACTGAAGTTACATAAAAAAACTTTCCGGCTAATCTGTGAGTATGAATAATATGTCTGGCAAGTGAAAAATTGAAGACCCGAAAATTTTCAGCCAGACTCACTTTCACTATCTGAGATAAGCCAAATTATTATTTTCATATACTTTATGTTCCATTGTAGTAAATGTGAAATATTTATGTCTGGGAAAATAAGCGTAGTTGTATTTTTCATTGATCTTGTGAACCCATTCGAAAATTTTAGCCAGACTCAAAAATTCTTGCTTTGTATCACCAGGAGAACAAACTATTTCATAGATACCAACTGGGGAAATAAGTGCTAAAAAATTTCACTGCCTCCTGGACTATAAGTTTTCAGCGCCTCTAGTGACTGGGGGGGGGTCAGCTTTTGTAATTCTGGATTTATTAGCAAATGCAAAACGCAATTAGGGTTCGTTCGGTATCTTATTCGTTCCGGTGGATCGTTTGCAGGGGGGATGTTTTGTGTCAGTGATAATAAACAAGTTTATTCCGGGTCTCAACATTTAAGAAAAATGTCGCGATTTGGTAACGCTTCCATGCAAGAAATTGACAAATCCATTGAAGACCTAACTCCTGAAAACACAAAAAAATCGAAAAATTCAATATGGAAACAATTCAAAGAATTTTGCTCTGAGAAAAAATATTTATTGGAAGCCCAGACAACACCAGAAACTTTAGCTAATATTTTAAAAGATTGGGCAAGTAATGTGAGAAGAAAAGATCGTTCGTTTTACAAAGAGAGCGTAGTCAAGACTATGTGGAATGTGACCGCCAAATTACTTCAACAGAAGTATAGCGAATATGGTGTCAACCTCGATCCATTCACAAATATTACATTCAAAGCAGCAAGAGACGCCAGGGATGCCGTACGGCGAGAATTGCAGGGTGATTCAAGCAAAAGGAAAACAAGTTCCTCAGCTTTTACGTCCGAAGAATATTTAAGTATTCTCAAACTTTTTGATGAAAATACTCCCGACGGGCTTCAAAAAAAGTTGTTCCACGTTTTATCATTTGAACTGGCTTTTAGAGGTGGCGAAGCTCCAAATTGCACAACTGATTTTTTTAAAATGGAAAAATTTCACGATGGCACACCTACAAACAGGATTGAATACAATCCAATTTTTTCGAAAACACGCCAAGGTGGTAGCCACCTTCTAACGGACAGTAAATGGCTTATCAGAAACAACGCCGATGAAGCCATATGCCCAATTAGGTAAGTAAAAGTGCTTCAATAGGTAAACTTGTTGATTCAAATATGATTTATTTCCAGGTTGTACAAATTGTTTATTTCCAAAAGAGGAAATAATGTGAAGATCAACAGACTTTTTTTAACACCTAATCCAGAATGGAGGAAAAGTGGCACATGGTATAAAAATATGCCAGCTGGCAGGAATGAAATTTCAAAATGGACAAAAACTGCAGCAGAAAAGGCCGGCCTAAATAGCAAAAAATTTAAATTTACTAACCATTCACATAGGGCTACAAGCGTAACCCATTTGGCTAAATCTGGAGTTGGCGAAAATCAATTAATAAAAATAACTGGCCATGGTAACGTTAATTCGATAAAACCCTATTTACAATTGGATCAGAGCTTTCATGAGGATATTATCCATAAAATGAGAGGAAAGCATAACGCCGCCAATAATGAAATTCAAAATTGTAATGCTTTCCCTGTTCTCAGTTCGGCGCAGACGATTTCAACTTCAAATAGTGTAATGTCTGACAATAATTCTTCGAAGGCAGTATTTAAATTTGAAAACTGTGTTTTTAATTGTCATAATTTCAATAACAATTAATTAATAATTATTGTATAGAGCACTTTTTAATATTTATGCAAATATAGGTAGATGTTTTCAAAAATTCGTGTTTTAATGCACCCTTCAAACAGATCGTTTGAAAAATATATTGAAATTCATTTGGCATAAATATAAAGAAAAGGTGAAAAAATACCTGAGAAAAAATTATCAGCAATTAGCACATGTGCAAATTATCGATAATTTTAAAATTATCGCTATTTTTTAGATGCAGCTAAATTATCAGGTAATTATATTCTGATTGGTCCAAACTGACAATAAAAAACCAGTATTTCATTGTTGAAATGTCAGATTTGACAATAAATGAAATTTTCACTGGAAAATTTCGAAATTTCCCTATAATTAGCTCCTCACTTTTCTCTTTTTCCTGGAAAATATTCAAAATTTTCCCTTTGCCAGTTTTCCAAAAAAAACTTTAAATGTGAAAGGGTGAATTTTCCTTAATTTTGCTTAAATAACTCAATTTTCCAGAATTTTTTCTCGAGTCATTTTTCACTAGAAAATTTTGAAATTTTCTTACATTGAGTTCCCCACTTTTTTCTTCTTCTTCTGGAAAAATTCCACAATTTTTGCTTTGCCAGTTTTCCAGAAAAAAAATGAAATGTGAAGGATGAATTTTGTTTAAAAAAGTCAATTTCCAGAACTTTCCTATCGACTTTCCTTGGAGTGATTTTTCACTAGAAAATTTTGAAATTTTCCTATAATGAACTCCTTATTTTCTTCTTTCTTCTGGAAAAATTTCACAAGTTTTGCTTTATCAGTTTTCCAGAAATAAATTAAAATGTAAGAGGATGAATTTTCCTTATTTTTACTTGAAAAAGTCATTTTTTCAAAATTTTTCCTGAAGTGATTTTCCATTGGAAAATTTTGAAATTTTCTTATAATGAGCGCCTGACTTTCCTCTTTTTCCTCTTTTGCCAGTTTTCCAGAAAACAATTGAAATGTGAGAGGATGAATTTTCCTTAATTTTACTTGAAAAAGTCAATTTTCCAGAATTTTCCCTAGAGTGATTTCTCACTGAAAAATTTCATAATTTTCCTATAATGAGCTCCTCACTTTCCTCTTTTTCTTGGAAAATTTTCAAAATTTTTCGTCTGCCAGTTTTCCAGAAAAAAATTAAAATGTAAGAGGGTAAATTTTGCTTAATTTTACTTAAATAAGTCAATTTTCCAGAATTTTTTATGGAGTGATTTTTCATTTGAAAATTTTAAAATTTTTGCAATAATTTCTGTAATTTTCATAGTTTTTCGTAATATCCATAATTCCGCCATTTTTAATAATTTTGAGTAGTTCCTGCATTTTTGGAATAATACCTGTAATTCCCCTATTTTTTTGTAATTTCCGTTATTTTTCGTAATTTCTGCAATATTCGAATAATTTCCATAATTTCAGAATATTTTTTGAAATTTTGAATTATGTATACAGGGTGTCCCACGGTGGATGGCGTATTAGACGTTTATAGAGAACTAAAAAGCGGATCATTTTGAAAATTTGGCAACCGGGATAAACGACCATAATCTACACTTTAACAATATTTTTGTTTATGCGGTGTTGCCGCTTCTACTCTAAACCAGGGGCAACATCGCTATTTTAAATGAAATACCCTGTATGTGATTGCATATTTGGATTCTACGTAAAATTCTGAGCAGATTTTATGTGATATACCCTATACCTAAGTTCAACTGTTTTGGAAATATTGACAGTTCAAAATTGACTTTTTGCAACTTTGACAGGCTGTAAAACCTAAACGGTTAATTTCAGAGGAAAACCAATCTTACATTCCTATCTTAGATTTTCGTAAACTATCATTTGACACCAACTTTGAATTTAACCGGAGATTAAATTTAATTGGAATTTTTAA